CTCCTTGTCACCCTGCCAACAGTTGACAGTTTGAGTACGTCCTCCCGGAGCTTTTTCTATGCACATAATACATAATGTGAAATGTAAAGAAAGTTTTAGAACATAAATTAGAAACGAAATCACGCTAAGCATAATGCTGCACCTGCTTTTGCCACTCAGAGCTGTAGTCAGCTCCTCGTGTGTATGTACAGAGCCTACTTCTTTTAAACGTATGTACCATGACCCATACAACACAACATCTCCGTTGTATGCACTTTTCCCTATTACAATTAATGCTGAGGTGAACCTCTTTTTACATAGATACATGTCGAATTTTGGATAGGTTCCTAGAAGTGGAATTACTACAACTGTGTTGAAAGGTCATGCATGCCTAAGTTTTTACTGAGGGTAACGTCAAATTTCCCCTTAAAAATGTCCTATTGGTGTATATTCCAGCAAGTAACACCATGATATCTTCATCAGCACTGGAATGATCAGTCTTTTTTTTAATTTATTTTCAATTCAAGAGAGAAAACAGTGGCCTCTTATGCATGTATAATTTACATTTTACTGATAGTGAGGTTGGGTATCTTTTTTTAAATTTTTAAAATATATTTTATTGATTTTTTTTTCAGAGAGGAAGGGAGAGGGATAGAGAGTTAAAAACATTGATGAGAGAGAAACATCCATCAGCTGCCTTCTGCACACTGGGGATGTGCCTACAACCAAGGTACATGCCCTTGACCGGAATCAAACCTGGGACCCTTCAGTCTGCAGGCCAACGCTCTATCCACTGAGCCAAACTGGTTAGGGCGAGGTTGAGTATCTTCATATGCTTTTTAATCTGATGTCTTTTAGCTATAAAGTGTCTGGTCTTTTTTTTTTTTTTTGAAGTTTCTTATTGGATTTTTATGATACTGAATTTTTGTCTATTGCAAGTATATTGCAAGTATATTTTCTCAGGTCGTTGTCTTATAATCCACTTTACATTGTCTTTAGCCATGGAAGCATTTAAAATTATGTAATAAAATCTGATAGTATCTAGGAGAGACTTACATACCTTCACATTAGTAATATATTTTCTTCTGGCACTTTTATAATTTTGTTTTCTTACATTTAGACTGAGCTAGATTGATAGAATGATTGACTTCTACTCTTCCTTTTGCCCTGTAGTTTGATCATGAAGATTGGTATACTTTTGTATAGTATTTTTATGACTTACCAAAGCAGCTTCATATAACAATAGATCAAATTAAAACTGAATGATGGAAGTATATATGTTACAGATGAATATTTTTTGGTGATTTTCAAATTTCTCTTCAGCTTTCATTTAGTTTGGCTTTTCAAATTGTGTTTCCTGGTCACTTTAGGCACCTCAAGACTTGGGACTAGGGGAGTGGTTGGCAAACTGCGGCTCGTGAGCCACATGCGGCTTTTTGGCTCCTTGAGTGTGGCTCTTCCTAAGCCTTAGGAGTACCCTAACTAAGTTAATAACAATGTACCTACCTATATAGTTTAAGTTTAAAAAATTTGGCTCTCAAAAGAAATTTCAATCGTTGTACTGTTGATAGTTGGCTCTGTTGACTAATGAGTTTGCCGACCACTGGACTAGGGTGTCCTGGAGGATGTACAACTCAGTTCTGCTTTTACTGGAATGTTGCATTTGAAAATGAAGGTGTTTCTTTAAAAAAGAACCAGAAAACCAATGATTTGAAGTTTGGGGAGCTGGGTAGGGTTTCCCTGGGGGATTCCAGTGTGTTGGTGTTGGTCATGTGTGTGGTCAGTGTGCTTTGGAGCTAGAATTCCTTGCCTTGAGGACCTGGGCGGAGCTCCCTGGGCAGGGCTAGGCTAGGCCTCCCTCTGTTTCCAGCCCTATCCTGTTACAGTTAAAGTATGTTCCGCAGTTTGACCTTCCGCTCTAGAACACTTTGCACACTATTATTCCCCATTTCCTCCTGGATACCTTTCTCATCTGTACACTGGGATCTCGTTAGGCAGAAGCAATAAATACTTCAGAGCATAAATATTTTTGTTGAGAGCTGAAGCACATTTCTAAATCCGTGAACACAAGTGAAATGGAAAATTACTGAGTACATTACAAACTCAGACCCAAGAATGCCAGGGGAGTTTTATTTTTATGCTTAGAAAAGAAACATGAAGTGTTGTTTATCTGTGGGTGTGAAAAATATATTAAAATAGCATATCATAACTATATTCAAACAGTGTTTTTCTTGCCCCGTCTTAATTTGATAACTTCAGTCTTGTCCTAGTACATTTCTCTTGGAGTGGATTAATGCCGCATTATTTATTATTTGGACTCCATTGAGTTACTGCAGATTTTTTGACTGTTTAATTCTTACTCCTCACACTTAATGGAATAGCTGATCCTTGGACAATGTAGGGGTTAGACCTCCCCACTCCCTCAAATCCTGCACAGTCAAAATGCGCATAAAACTTTTGACTCAGTTGAATAACACACGTTTGTATGTAATACATACTGTGTTCTTACAGTAAAGTAAGGTAGAGAAAAGAAAATGTTATTAAGAAAACCATAAGGAAGAGAAAACAGTACAGTACTGTACGTCTTTATTGAAAAAAGTCTGCATATAAGTTGACCCCTGAAGTTCAAACTTGGTGTAGTTCAAGGGTCAACTGTATTTAATTGTTTTTCAGAAGGTACTAAATAAGTTTTGGTGCTTAGTATCGTCCCTTTTTGGGCTGAGGCTAAGAAGAGGCTGCATCTTGCCACCAGTGCTGGTCCTGATTTTCAGACAGTGGCTGCTTCACCCATAGTAGTGACCTCCAAGACCTGTTTAGTTTCATGAGTCGGACGAGAGGAATTCCAGGTCTTACAGGCATCTCCTTCCTTTAAGTTCACTCGTGGGGAACATGACACATGGTCAGCGTTGCTAATTATACTTGAAGGAGCAGAATCACCTTCCTGCATTCCCTCTCTTCCACCCACTCGTGTAGAGGTGACTCTTGGCCTTAGCAATGTCATGAGAGGCCACACGTCCTATAGACTCTCGGGAGGAGAGGCCACAGTGCAGTTTGCGTTCACTTCTGTGCTTCCCCATGAAAATATAAAAGATGCAAAAGCGTATCGTTTATTTCTGGGATTGATTATTCTTTTAAGAAATCTTTTCAATTTCAGCTTTATTGAGGTATAACTATTGTAAGATATTTAAAGTGTCCACCGTGGTGATTTGATATGAATATAGTGAAATGATTTTCCCCTTCTATGTAACGAACACATCATCACCTCCCACATTTATCTGGTATTTCTTACTCTGTTGGCTTCGTGGTGCCCTGTGTGTTGTGGCAGCCTCCTGACTCCTGGGAGGGGCATGAAGCCCATTTATAAGTGCTCAGAATAAAAATCATAAAACCCAAGTGCTCAAGAATGTTAGCTAAATGGTGACGGTGGTGGTGGTGGTGGGAGATAAGGACTAAAGCTCATTTATACCCCATCTTCCTCGCCACCATCCTGCCAGTGTAATCAGCTGCACTAACACCCTGGTCAGTGTTCACCTTTACATTTGCTTGGTTTTCTTAATAAACATCTGACTAAGTGTTCCCACACACTTCCCACTGCTTTATGAAACTCCTGCCCAACTTTCCACGAGATCCAATCTCATTCGATAATTTCACCCCCTTCCCTTTCTTTCTTCCCTCTGGAGCCCCCCAGCTTCCGCTTAGGTAAGGACTGGCACAGGTAACACTTCTTATAAAGACTTTTAAACCGTTGCCCTGCTTTTAGGTCCTTCCCTTCTCGCAGCCTCCACACTTTGCAAAACCAAACCACCTCCTCACCTCACCAAACAGAGCAGAACACCTGGTACCTATGCCTCTCAGGTTGAACTTCCAGAGGCTTACCTCTCAGTTAGCTCGCACGCCCAGCTTTCCTTCTGTATTTATATATTTTGACGCGAGGTTCCTGAAATCCCCTGGTTTCGTCAAGCGTGGGGCTTTTAGCATTTGTGTTTTATTCCCCTCCTCCATTGGAAATGATTTTTCAGCTGGGAAAAGGTGAAAACTTCACTATTTTGTGGCTCACATCCAGCAGTCTCCCAGCCTCTAGCTCCAAATTTCTAATTATTGGCTGGACTAAAGTCACCAGACAGGGCGAGGAAGTAAGCCTAGATATTCCAGACACATTTTGTACGTATTTGCCCTTGGTCCTAGTCTTTGTTATTGTCTGATACAAACGAGAGTGGGCTCAGGTTTTCTCCTGGTGTCTTCCTCTAGTGAGAGTTTTCCTTCCAGTGAAGATTTTATGGGAAAGTCCAGCTCGTGAGCTCTGTGTTTTCTGGTGAATAATAAGCCCAACTTAATGAGGTAGGTTGTAAAGATAACTTGTCTCATTTTAGTTCTGCAACTAAAGGAACACAAGGCGAGGTGAGAGTTACTAGGGAACCACAGAGAAAATTAACGGGCGTTGAATTAGGACCTCAAGAGAGAAGGTCAGAAAGGTAGGGATAGTTATGTTGTGAGCCTTAATAAGAGTGTTAAATTTATGAATTTGTAATGTAGAGAGGATGGATCCCAGTGGCCCTTTTCAAGGTGAAAGAGTTTAAGAATAGGTAAAATTAGCATGTAGAGATTTAAGTATATTTTATAAAGAAGATGATGTTTCAAGAAGATTGTTACTGAAATGAGCCTTGCCCTGGCTTGGGTGGCTCGGTTGGGTGTCATCCTGTGCACCAAAAGGTCACTGGTTGATTCCCGGTCAGGGCACATGCCTGGGTTGTGGGCTTGATCCCCTGTAGGGAGCGTGCAGGAGGCAGCCGATGGATGTTTCACTCTCACATTGATGTCTCTCTCTCTCCCACTCTCCCTTCCTCTCTTTCTTAAAAAAAAATCAATAAAAATCTTAAAAAAAAAGATATGGTCCCCTTGAGTGATTTTTCTTTGATGTGGTTAGACACCATCTAAAAGTTCTAACTTAGTATACAAGTGGCTAAGTGCCATTACATTTTTTCTTAGTGCACTCTCTCTTGAGAGCATTCAGGCGCAGGTAGTAGGATGAAATCTTCATACTTTATTGCTTGCCTGTTTAGGTTGCTGTGTTAGAATCCTCATTTACCAATCAGACTTAACCAGTTCACTGCCACGCGTCCAAAACGGAAGCCATCCCCACACACCAGAGACGCCTAAGGAAACCCAGTAAGAAAAAAAGCTATAACCTGATCTTGGTTGTTTTGACTCCAAGTTTTATTTCTTTCTGTTTTTACATTATGCATGCAGCTTTTTATCGTGTGAAAACACACGATTTCAGTCATTTTATAGGTCAAGAAATGGAGCAGCAATGTGCCGTAGCTTCTACATTTGGCAGTTCAGGCCTATGCAATAAGGGACTTCTAAAGATGTATAGCTTTGGACTTGATAGCATTCCTTCCGAATCTACCCTAAAGAAAGAATAAAGAATTATTTTTAAAAAGAAAGAAATAACAGCAAAGTTAACTTCAGCTAAAAAAAAAAAAAGAACCAGAGGCATAGACAAATCTTTTTGAACCATAGCAAAAATTAGAACCCACATGCATGTAACAATGGTGAATGGTTCAATAAATGTTGGCCTATACCGTAGAGCAGTGGTTCCCAACCTTTTTTTGGCCATGCCCCACCTAAGCATCTCTGAAATCCTGATGCCCCCCCCCTCGTGACATATAATTATTATTCAAAAAGCAAACTCCTAATCACATGGAGGAAGCCTAAAAGGCCATTAACGTGGTCTAAATAAGCTTCCAAAGAACATGGCATCCATGAAGAGGAAAATAAAAGAACAAAAGGACAGTTGAAGAACTAAGGAAGAAATCACTAAGAAACTGTTATAAAAATAGTAATAATATGAAGCAATATGAAAAAATAGCAAATAAAGTTTAAGAACATATAATAGAGAACTGAAATGCATAAATATGCCACAATATATATTTATATACTGTATATGAGTCCCCATAAAAAATACAAAAATTCACTGTTAATAATTCACTCATTATTGAATTGCCCCCCATTAAAAATCAAACTGCCCCCCTGCAGGGTGTGTGTGCCCCATCTTGGGAAGATAAGTAGTAATCAGAAAGGATGAAAGATATGAAACAAAGTAGTGGAATCCCAATAATGTAAACAAATTTAAAATATACCTAATTAAAAGGATGGGATAAAATATACAAAAGTTTTAAATTGATTACCCTTGGGTGGTGACATTATGCACGATTTTTAGTTTTTCCTTTTAGTTTTCTATAATTTCCACTTATAATGAATTTATAATCAGAAAGTATTAAAGATTATTAAAATTTTTAGATGAGGTAGAAAAAGAATGATCCTTCTCACCCTAATAATTCAAAAGAATGAAAACTCAAGCAAATTCCAGGATACAAGTGGTTTTAATCAGTTCTAATTTGAAAATGAATGTTGGATTGCAAGTGGTTTTTTTTTTTGTGGTTTTTTTTGCTTTTGCATTTAGTCAAAGTATGATTGTATATGGTGCTGAAAGCCACGTGCTTAATGAGCCAGTATTGTAAATACTGTTATTTATGAAGGGGCCTATATGTGAATGTGCATCTCACATTAAAATTCCATGGTGAAGGACTGCACTTTGGGTGCAGCCTCTGCCACCTGCTAGCTTTGGGACTTTGGCCAGATCCATACAGTCTCAGTTTTCTTACCTGTAAATTGGGGTTGTGAGGATTAAATGATGTCATACATGTAAATCACTCAGATGATTTTATAGCTGAAATAAGTGATAGCTGATTTAATGCTACTCCTGAAGGAAGACTTATTCCAAATTTTCTTATATAGAATATTGAGGAAAGGCAAGATTAACTGGTTTAAAGTATTTTTTTTTTGGGGGGGGGTCTAATACAATATTAATACTCCAAAGATTACATAGGGGCAAAGTAGATGTGTCTGCTTCTGCCTTCCTCCCTCTGAGGTCAGAAGTGTTCCATGCCTTTTCTCCAAGCTTGTGTAAGCACAGACACATATAGGATGACTGGTTTGGCTTTATTTTTTTGCCTTACATATTACTCTGCAACTCACCCTGGGTGTCACTCTGAACCAATAGATTCTGTTCTAACTAATTACCAATAATTACATAAGACCCTAAATAATTTTCTATGCCAGGATTTCTTTGAACATAACTCTGTTATGGATATTCAGGGTGGTTTTTGACCCTTATACATAACCCTGAAGATTTGTTGCTTTTATTTCCTATGAAAGTTTCCCACAAGTGGCATTGCTGAGTCAGAGTACGTGTTAATTATAGTGCGGAGGGATTTGGGGTTACACAAGCTGTTTAAAACGTTGGTTCCTGCCCTCTTACAATCTAGTGGAAGAACAGATGATGTGCATTCTTTTCCCAGGGATTTCTTTCCTTCTTTTTTTTTTTTGCTCTTATACAAATATTTC